ATTTAGTATTATTCTCATTGGCAATGTCGGGCGATCTGAATATAGAATAAAAACGTACTGCAAAATACATTCCACTAAGGATGCCTTTCAAAAATCCTTGTGTAACGGTTTTGACGAGAAGAATCTTCTCACTGGTCGACTTATGTTTTCTATGCTTTTTGATTATTTAGTACGAATGAATTTTAAATTCCAATGAATTCAGCTGAAGTTTAGCGTAGCTTTCTGCCATAAGTTTAATAGATAATGTGCGTTGTTCCACAAATATCGAACTTCTTTCTGAATATTAGCGTCGGTCAATTTCTTGATTTTCTTAAACACTCGTGTTTTTCGCTTCATGTCAGATGCGAAATAAAACCTTATACCATCAATCACATCGTTCACATGAGATTCAATCCTGAATGTAGATCCCATCGAATCCCATAACATCTTCATGTCAGTACGGCAATCAAAAAGATCCTAACTTTTATCGTATCTATTCGAGTCTCTAAATGACTTCAAAAAGAAGACTTTAGCGGATTGAGCTCCAAAAGAATGGCAATTATGTGTACACATAAACGTAATTAAAGTAAAGAACTCAAGGTTCTTACCGGCTATAAATATTAGAATGAGACTAAAGTGGATAAAATTCAAGGACTGGACTTTAAACTCACTATACGTATGCAAGTTCATGGGATATTTGATTTTGCGGCAGATTCAAAATGCTTGCACCGCTATATTAGTGGCGGTATATCGGTGCAGAGACGGCCTCTTTCTTTTACTCAGAGAGAGAGAGAGAGAGAGAACAGTGAGTGAATGTGATTAGGGGATGTGATAGAAAGACGGAAGAAATGAAACGGATAGAGAGCTGAGGGAGAAGAGAGTTATGGATAACAAAGGGGATAAGGAGGAAGAGCGACCGCGTTACTTGCTTGCTCTCATCTCACATTGATTCTTTTTACGTGATTTTGATTTTGCCCCAACATCATATTCCCCGTTATATGTTCCCGTGTGAGTAGAATGAGATGTATATATTTCGACAACTTTTTTTCGCTTAGAATAAGATGAGATGAAGCGTGATTGACAATTTTAAGTTGGAAATGATTAATGCAAACAATAATAGTCAAGCTAATTAAATAGATTTGATCAATGTTCATGACAACTGAAGAAAGCATACTGTATACCTAATAACTCGAATTTAAAGTTTTATTCTCATTAAATTACAAATGAGATTATTGAAATCAGAAAGCCCTAGTTCTGTTTGCATGCATCGCTATGAGAAGCAGCATTGTCTCATCTAATATATTCAAATTTATCTTATTCCGTTTAAATTCATAAGCTCTAGTTTTATGTAGTATATAGGACCAAGCGATTCATGAGTAATTACAAGAAATTAGCCTTTTCATAATGATACGACTAAATTAACCATATATATCAATTACATTCTGATTTAATCCGATAATTCTTACTCGTCTTTTCTTATTAGAATTCCAACTCTATCACTCTATCTTAGCAAAAACTCTATCCTATGGATATCAGATATCGATTGAAGTATATTGGGTGCTTCCATGCTTGCCGATTAAGGAGGAGGTGGGAGGGGCTATCCTCTACCAAAATTGAAATTTTATCAGGTTTTCTGAAAAATTTTAAACCTCTCCCACTTCGAAACAATCGATAACCCTGGATGTTTTTATCAATATAAAGTCTCGTTTCTCTTGTGCATCGCTAATCATTACGGTTATTATTATTAATAAATATTTTTATCTCTTACTGACATATTTCTTCTAAATACTTTTGTAAGCAACTTAGCGAGCAACTAATCTAGATCCGTAGCATATATATAGGGAGAAAAAGTATTAATGTCATTACGAATTTAATTAAAGTCGATACAATTTTTAAATGCTCTTCATCTTTTTAAAAGCTTTCCCACAAAGCGAGAAGTATTTGGAGGATATATGTAAGAATTTTTCAGTCTAATACAAATAAGAAAAACATTTTAGTTTCTAGTTTTGCTTGATTTAATTTCTAAATGAAAATTCTGAAAAGCAAGAATATGTTCGATTCACTTCTCTTTAAATGAAGGTTCAATTGTAGAAAGATCGTCTATTATAAAAGGAAGTGTTCCGATAATATTCGCTGGTAACAGGGCAATAATTACACAATAAAGACAAAATGTCGCTAGTTATATTTTATAGGAATAAAATTCTTAGAACATTCCCGGAATTTGAAAAGATTAATAATTAGAACAACGTAATCATGAGTCTATCGTGAAAGCATTGAAAAAACAGACCATCCTTATTTGTTAGCATACTTTTTAAATAACCTATAACGTAAAATTTACTCGTATTTCCAGATATAGAAATTGATAAGTGTAAAATATTGAGCTGACTGTTGAAATTTTCGAAAAATTGTAGTAAATAGACGTGTTTGTATTTACTTCGATGTTAGAGATGCGACTTTATCATGTGCTATCGGTAGTTCTTATTATGAGGAATCACGCGCGCATATTTATTTATACGTAACTGAATGATTATATTGCTTGTTTTTTCATATTCAAAGGCAAGCTGAAAGCAACTATCAACTACTATTAAAAAAATCTTTGATTAACAGCTCATCGTTGTTTGTGTATATATTGCCCTGTTACCAGCGAATATTATCGGAACACTTCCTTTTATAATAGACGATCTTTCTACAATTGAACCTTCATTTAAAGAGAAGTGAATCGAACANAATTTTCACACTCTCATAGAGAGAACAAAATGTATCAACTGACTAGACGCGCCAAACATAACATAATTCAATTTCAAAACGCGACAAAGACAAAGCGATGAAGACGAGAGAGAGAAAAAAAACATATAGCGAGAAACTCGCGCGAAATCAGAAACAAGACATGTGACGACACACGGTGCCGTCACAGGGGGGTCCAATAAGAGACTAATTGAAGAACTCAACTGAGCCAGTTTAAATCATATTTAGTTTGAAAGCATAATTTCATCTTTCTTTGCATGTGTTGATTTATGGGATGAGTATTCATCACTTTATAGGATTCGACATTCAACACCTCGTAAAAATGGTGTGGGTGTTAGAAATGTCTTTTCCCATACCCACACTCTATATTTATATATTGATTTTTTTTTCGAATATTTAACTCTCTGTTAATAATTGGTACACTATCTTTAAGATGAAATTCGTCATCAGTTTTTATTTCTTTCCGCGAAACGATGGAAGAAAAAAAACAACAGCATTAATATATGAATATTTTAGGGTCTTATGATTTTCAGAAATGAATGTAACTGGGCCTACGTAATAAATTGATTAGGTAATTTTTTAATACAAAAAAGACGTTTCATTTTGTATATTTATGCATCTTAAGTTGGCTTTGAATCAGATTTAGTCGTTTCTGAGTAAATTATGAATATTATCTATTACACATTTTCTAACAAACATTCAAGTAGGACTAAAAAAACAGCTTATGATTTATTAATATACAAAATAAGGTATTTTGATTAAAATATTGCTTCATCAATTTTGTGCCTATGCCAAATTGTATTCATTTCTATAGAACACAACACTATCAATAAGTAGACTCGAACCCTAATCATACCAGACGGCCAACCGGTGGTATGCCACCAGTTTTTCGAGTTTGAATCGCATGGGTTGTCAGAGATTTTATAGAACCAATAAGGAGAAAAAAGTGTTTTATTTTTCTCTGTTTTCACTTGGTTATTCCAAGTATATTATTTGTCATTGTTATGAGAAAAGCTTGAAGGAGAAATAAAAAAAGCTAGTCTTGTTAACTTTTGGTTTATTCTAATTATCAATTTCTATAGTTCTTTTGGAGATTTTACCGTAGTAGTAGAATGAAATGAAACACTTTCTTTTTCTTTTCGTCACTTATTTATTATCTGAATGAAGACCTTTCGTGACTGTCGAAAAAGTTCAAACAGGTTGGTTTAATATAATTTTCTACTAACAATGTCTGTACTCTACCTAGAAGTTCTGATAGAAATTAAGAGAACTGGGTCAGCTATTTTGATAGCTTTTGCAATTTTTACAATCAAAATGTGATTTGCAAACTAAATTCATATTATTTTCTTTGTTTAGTCACCGCGTTAGCTATGGTGTGTTTTATTAGAGCATTAGAATAATAAAAACGACTTTAGTTTCTTATTTTCTCATTTAGTTAACCGATAATTATCGAACATCATATTAGAGCAGAGTGAATAGATTGATTTCGTTTTATTCTATTAATTTAGTCGATAATATTCGGCGTATTATGGTTAAAGAAATTAGCTTCACCCACATTTTTTCTTTATTGATTGCTGCTGTATTTATGCAGTGTTTAATATACGGAATACCGTAAGTTAGTTTACGTGTGCTTGCTTTCTGTTATTCGTTTCCCCAATTATGCTTGATTTTTTATGCGTAAGAAAATATTACAGTAGAATTTTTTTGTGCCATAGCTATAATCATTCTTTCATATACAGACTAAGTTAGAGAATAATTGGTTTCAAAGTATCAGTTAGCCAATATGTAATCTTATGTGCATGAATCACTAACATATATAAACCAATGAAAAAACTCATCACTCTAAAGTATGATAAATAGAGACCATATGGCGCAATTAATATGATTGAAAGTTATCGGAATTATATGCAAAATTTAGAGAAGCTCATATATACCTGTCAATAGTGTTTTTATTTGACAGGCACTATATAAATGCAGAATTAATAAAAAAAATGTTATTTTTTTTATCTTTTGAAACTGACAAATGCTACAGGCATATAAAAAATGATCAATAGACAGCTTTCTATATTCACATCTCCTACAGCTAAAGTCACAGGCACAACCTTCTGTACAAGATACTATCTATTGATTCGAAATGTATGCTAAGCACAGTCATAAGCACCTTAAATTAGGAAGACATAAAAATTTCATCGTTATATCTGCCAGTTTCAAAGGGAACAACTGATTTCTTGTTTTTTCCTTCTTTTAGCTTTCCAACAAGTTTACCTTGAGAAATTATGTCCACCGCTTCATCAGAAAGCAAAAATTGTGAATTCAGCATTATTATTCTCGGCAATACTGGATCTGGCAAGAGTTATCTTTGTAATGCTCTCATTGGGCACAAACAATTTAAATCCGGTTTTCAAGTGGAAGCAGTACCAACAGAAACAAACTGTGCCCCGGTTATGATGGAATCAAATAGCATAACTATGTACGATACTCCAGGCTTAGTAGAAGCAATTCAACAGCAAATTGATCGAAACCAAAAAGAAATCACTGAAGCCTTTAGAAAGTGTCCAAAGTCGGTGGTCTTGTTTGTTTGGACACACACCAGCGAATGCGTGCATAAGGACGATGTTATTGCATTTAAGGCTCTCAACGACGCCTACAATTTTCCGGTCAAATCTCTCATCTTTGTTGTGAACAATGTACCACAGAGAAGACCAGTTGACTACGAAGATGCATTCTTTACCACGCTCTCATATATGTTAGAACCAATGCCAGTTTCGAGGAATGATATTATTTTTATCGATAGTATGGAACCTTGGGAAAAAGAGAGAATCCAGGAAGCGCGTGAAAAACTTCTCATTTCGATCAGTTGTCATCATGCAGAGCTGCAAAAACAATATGTCCCTATTAATTTGCAATCTGGTGATTTGGAATATGTGCGAAAACTACTCGAAAGTCAGCGATTGGACGCTGAAAAAGACTGGAAAGCCTTTCAAAAACAGATCCAGGCAAAGCAAAATACCACAAAAAAGCATAGTCCAATCGCTTATCTAGGTATGGCTATCGATTCGAGAGTTCGTATGGCAGTAAATGTTTTCGGAGGCCTACCATGAAAGCACCGACGATTGTTAGCACGTGATAAACTTGAGTATGGGTGCGAATGTATGGGCGCAGATCTTCTCAGGGAGCATCCATCGATACATCCACACCCAAATTATTGATAGTTTTGCACTCGTATACTTTAAGGCTGCTGAAAATAGTTTCTACTTACTTTTCAAAGGAGAAGTATGAGAAGCTAAAATTTTCAGATTAGTAATTTCGAATGCACATAGAAATCGTAAAGCGCTTATCGAGTGCTTACAATCATCGGTGCGTTTATGGGAAATCTCTTTAAAAGATAATGAAGAAATAATCATTTCTTTTAGATCCTGAATATAGTTTTCAAATCATTCTTATTGATATATCGAAACATTTGAATGCATTATCTTCCTGCATTTTGAAAACTTTACTTAAGTTGACAAATTATTCTATACTTATATACAACGATTTAAAATTTAGTGATTTTAATGGATTGCCTAAAAAATCCACATTACTCTTTATAAGTAGCGAATTTGCGTTAAGTATGGAAAATAATAAACCTGATTACGTCAAAGCAATTTTCATATTGGAAAATGACCAGAACAAAGTTGATCATCGAGAACGATTCGCTACTGGTGAAGATCTCATGTGCCAATTAGCTGATGAACTATATCGATGTTATAAAAAAGAAGCCAACGATTTTCTCATATGCGGTAATTCATCAATGGCAAGTATAAAGGAAAAGCAAGCCAATCGAATTCATAGTGAATTGCAACAAGTACATCAAGAATATTTTTCAAATTATATTACTACTAAAGTTTCCATTTGTACAACAACTACACTTTTATGGCTCAGATCAAAGCTACAAAATGATGCTGATGTGGAAAAAGTGAAAAATATTTTCCAGGGAATTATTTCCAATTTTTTCGAGTTTGACAGTGCACTAAAATGTCAGAACTACTTGCTAGACTACAAATCTGCTGCTGGTGGGCTCTTCTTGATTATAGATGTGACGTTCTATTATGAGTGTTCATACATCACTTTATCTTCTGACTTTTCCTCTTCAACATATATATTGCCGTTCATGTGTTTATAACTAAGATTAGCTTGTTGCTTATTCTGTTGACCGGAACATATATCATCCTCCACGATTATCTTTTCTGTTATTCTCATCTTTCTTTTGTTATGTCTATCTTTTCCCTTTCTCTCTCTCTCTCTTTTGGCTGCGTATATAAACGCGTGTTGTGGATGTAAACGAGGCGATTTGTGATATGAAGAAGCTAAATAAAGCGTAGTTTCATCAGCGCAAGCATCTCTTGTATCTAAAATCGTCACAATAGATTCTGATTATGACAATACAGTTGTAGCTGATTTCCAACAATTACTTAATGTCAAAGGTGTTTATCACTGTTGGCTATCAGATAAGACAAATATTAATAATTATGGCGATCTGTGCTTACAGTTAACATGTGATCTTATTGCTTATTACACCAAATTAGGTGATGATTGTAGTGCCAAGCAAGATGCAAAAACAGCTAGAGACATGTTTATGAAAGCTAATGAGCTTTGTAAAATTCTTGGTGAACTTTAAGAGATACACGTTCTTCTTTTTATGATATAAATATATTTTGTTCATTTTTTAATCAAGCTTGCTTTTAGATGTAAACTATCGATAATATCGTGTTTGACGATGTTATATTTCCACGAGCTAATTTATTAGCTGCTCTTCTTTATCAAATGGATGGTGTATCGATAGCCGTTCCATTACCTCATGCTCATCTGATGTCATTTATTGAAGTTTTTAACAACACAAATACGTGCCAAAATCATATCATCGCGAACAATCAAAAGGAAATCAAATTATTTGTTCACCAGCACAATATGCAACGGTTATTGGAGAATTCATTTGTCGACACAGTACCTCAACTAGCCAAGATAAATATTTTTTGTTCATCGCCAGGATCGAAAGCATTTTGGTCTACATATACACAACGGTACAGAAGAATAATTGAACAACCATTTTTATACAATGAACTTAATTTTGAATTATTATTGTTCGGTTGTAAGCATATAAAGCAATTATGCGAGTGTCCGGAGTTTTCTGGTGATAACTCTATAAGGAATAGATTGAACGAGGACTTTAGAAACATTAGTGAAGCTTTGGCTAGTATTTTATTGCAAAAAATTACAAATTTAAATGACCAAATTAGACTAAGTGAAGAGGCACAATATTGACTCTTTGCTTAACCTGTTTTTTTTTATCGGTAGATAGAAATAAAATACATGTGAAGTCAGGTGTGAATGTCAGAGATGATGTAAATCACACCCACATGCATCAATACCAAACATCTGTAAAACACAGAATAAAAAAATTTTGTCTTAAAGAATTCTGTCATTCGCCTGAAGATTCTTTTTATATGGCTACTATGCTAAATCTCGAATAAGTTTTTTTTCAAAAAATATGTCTATATAGTAACCTAATATCTTTATGTTTCGCGTATAAGGAAAATGATTCTATGAGATGGATATAAAAACACAAAAAAACAGGGAGAAATTGTTAAACACAATCTAATGTAGTTGGCTGCTGTTGCAACGGTAATGATAAATCACTCAAAACATTTCTTAGCTGTTGTTGTAGTTTTATGTTCATCGCAAATTGCCTGAAAAAAATTCTTGGTCGTTACTTATTGTATTAGAAGGTCGACTGTCTTCTAATATATTCGATAGTACGACGTTTTCAGGGACCGTTCTATTGTGTCTCATTTATTTTCATAATATTTAATTATGCAGATTTTTCAGAAAATCATAACAATTTTGAAGAATTCGGGAAGAAATTATGCAGTTTTTCTAATTTTATTCAAATAAATAGAAATTAAATATAATTATGACGTTTCGACAATCGAAGTTGCCTTCTTCCTCCGTCCCCCTATCATAATATATAAACGAAAAAAAATAAAAATAAAAATACATGAGATGCCTAGTTCGAATTCAAATATAAATGGGCATCCAACTGCATGGTATCAATTCGAAAATAAATGATAGAAATAGATTTAGTTTAAGATGGAGTGAGTGTGGGCTTAGGGAGACTAAGGAATAACTGTGGGTGGCGGTGCGCGTGAGGGGTGGGTAGGAGGGGTACCCAGGGTACTTTAAATGTGGTTGTGGGTGATGGATACCATGGAGGAGTGTTCAGATGTGGGTGGGTGTGAAGGGTACCCGGAAGGGGTGCAGAGGGGGGTATCCGGGATACTATAGATGTGGTCGTGATTGATGGATACCATGGAGGAGTGCTCAAATGTAGGTACGGGTAAGGGTATATATGTATTCATATGTCGCATATATCGGAAAGTTAAACTAAAACTAAATCTATTTCTAGATTTAGTTTTAGTTTAACTTTTTCTTTTCTCCATTTATATTCGAACTCGAATTAGACAGCTACTCATTAAATATTAATCAATATATCTATTACAGTTGACATTAGAATTTAGTTGAAATTGGAATAATAGATTTAATTAAAGATAGAGAAAATAGACACAAAAGAGAGCGAAGACACGAAAAGAAAAGAAGAAAAGGAATTCAAAAATCAAAATGTGAATAAAATTATATGAACGATATGGAAATTTTTTTCTACCAGTTAGATTTAGCAAACTATTTTCTAATTAATCATAATTTAGATTTCTTTTTTAAATTAATGACCAAAACAAAAAAGAGCTTTTATTTCTGATTTTTCACTTATCTCAACGCGCTCTCATCTCCCTTGTATGACTCACACAATAATTAATGTATCTTGCTGAACTGATACTTTAATATTGAAAGAAAATAAAATACTTTGTTGATTATGACATTAATGTTGCATCATTAAATAAATACTTATTTATCCGAATTTTACACTTTAAAAATTTAGTAGAATCTATTAATATCTAACTTTTTTGTCATCATTTCTTTATTAATTTAAGCTTTTATAATTGATAATCGTCACTATGAAACAGACAATGATTAGACAT